CTTATATACGAATCCAAGTCATTTTGAGTAACGGAAAGTCCTTCTTTCCGCTGGCTTGTATATGTTTAGGCAATTGAATAAGTGCGGTTTGAATGAAAAGATCCTTGGCTAATGATTAAGAGCCATTGGGAAAATGCCCGAAGATACATACGTGCTGTGCGCGATGTAAATAAAAGGTTCGAACAAATGGCGAAAGTTACAAAAGGATATTTACTACGTTAACACATTTGGAGAGCGTCGACACACCCACCCTAGCCTATCGTGTGTGCTGTGCTCCGACGGAGTTCACCTGAACGAACTAGGCCAGGGTTCTTTACTCTGGGAGCTGTCCAGAGTAATGAAGTGAATGTGAATGTTATTGTTATTGTTAATGTTATTGTTAATGTTATTGTTAAATAAAATTGTATTATTCCTAACGGTGTCTTGCATCAGTGCAATCAAATCCCTGTCCCTGAATTGTCGTTGGTTTCAAACTGACACGTCCACCCACAGCCAAATTCTCATTGGCTTGCATAGTATAGAAGGCAGGCTAAGGTAATCTCTTGCAAAAACAAGTAGGATGATTGGTGTATAAGACTTGAAGAAGGTGGGCCTAATGCGTAATACACCTCGAGAGACCCGTTTCAGATCGGTGACAGATAATCTGATAAACATATTATGTCCAATGATTGGTGTACAGGACTAAAGAAAGCTGGAGAATTGCATACTAATCCGACCCCTTGCATAAACACGATCAATCGATCAATGATCGCCTTTAATTGAGGCTGACTAAGGTAATCTCTTGCATAAACACAATCAATCATCGTTCTTTTGTACTTTAATTGAATGAACGTTGCTTGTCTCTCTCTCTCTATACCCTATAAGGCAGACAGTAGGTAAAAAAGGGTAAATGATAACGCACAAACTCAGCCGCATATTACACTGCATTTGCATACGTCCCCTACTTACGAATGGCATCACTTGCACGGTCATATTGGCCTTTGGAATCTTAATTCATTGATAATTGAACAGGCATGGGCAAACGGAAAGGCGTCAGAAAGTCGAAACGGCACTGGGTGCCAGCCCCGGTGTGTTGGCCATAAGGTCAGGTCGATCCAAGTCGCATTGGGCCTATGCATGTGTAGGCAATTAGCCTGGAATGGGCCTAGTCCTATTTCCCCATAGACTCTCCATGTTACCAAATGAACCAGACTTGGACACGCAAGGGCAGACGGAAAGTTATCGATAAGGAGTTGACGGTTCAAAAGACCGCTGGAATGCAAACTGGTCAGTCCGACATGAGAGCCACACTTCATGTGCCTTTGATGAGGCAATATTACACCTGACTGGCCAATAACATGGATGGCTTTGACCAAGTTTATAGGTTGCAACCTTTTGCCACTTTCGAAATGTCGAGTTAACTTTTGCTAGCGGGAAAGTTTCTAATAGTTCTCTATTCCATGTACGAGCTCCACCTGTATATTAAAAAATGTGGATGCCAGTAATGTTAGAAGTTGTAGGTTTGTTGAGAAAAATATGGTTAGGGAAACAGTACGAGTCGAAGATTCGGTGTTAATTGTCGCAGTGATAGCCACTCCAGCAACTCCGAAAAAGTGTCCTTTCTTCTTGTGTCGGTCAACACGGTCCCCACTGCCCCGTATGTTGTTACTACATTTGTTTTCTCAGGATCAATCGAACATCTTGTTCTATATTTTCTCAGCAGGTAGTTGTTCTAAATGGCAGATGGAAGAGTTCCCTTTCCTGGTAACCTGGCATTTTCCCCAAATTATTCCTTGTTGACATGTTATGTAACAGAAGGAAACAAACATTCCAATTCCTAGTTGGCATATTATGTAATACAGAAGGAAACATAAGCTATCCGGGCGAGTTTTTTTTTGTGCACATTTGCAAACATCAGTAATGTTTTTGATTTTAAGATACTGGGACAATGAATAGTAATTAAACCAACTTGACTTATCTACACTAGAAACGCTACTGACTGGATCCCCATTGTCTCTTTCTTCTTTACCTATTCAACAATTCACAATTTGAATACAAGTCCTATCAGGTCACACAAATATGTTATTCTTCAAACGTAACCAACACTCCAGTAAAAAAGGAAAGAAAACAAATATGATGAACTGATCAACAAAGCAAAGAGAAAGCGTTAGAGTTAAATAAGAAAGCTCTGGAGATTTTTTCTCAGAGAATTTCTATATTTGAATTCATTCTATGTTAATAATTCTAAGATATAATCAAACCATATGACCATATCGATAGAGCGTATCATCGCTCGCACCTGATACAAATTTTATGCGTCTTAATAAACAGTCGAGTAAGAACTGACAATTGTTAGCACGTGCCAGTCTTGAAATGTGATTTTTCTCTTGTCTTTTTGTGTTTTGTCTTTTTTTTTATTTTGTCGATTTCAACTTCAAGGGAGAAGACTCGTACGAAAAAAAAAAAAAAAAAAAAAAAAACACAACTCCTGTCCAACTGTTCAGTATTTTATTCTTACCGCACTATTCATATGTATAATCATACCCATTGTACAAACCAAGCGTTTACTTTTCTCAAAGGACTATACTTCCTTTATAAAGCCTTTCCCAACGCTTATCGTCCTCATTTGAAAGATGAAAGCTTAATTTGTTTGGTTCCTCCTTTATTTATCGTTTATAGAAGTACTTGAAAGTACTTGGATCAGCAGTGAGTTGTGTTTGACACAGATTTGTTTTCTCGGAAATTATATTGTGATATCTTGGTTTTCTTTGTATTGCATTTGTTTCCCATAACACATAAGGATTAAAATGCTTTGTTTTTCGAGTATTGGCAATGTTTACAGCTGTTATTGTAGGTTATGATAATCGATAATCTTCTTCCACATTTTATTTGAAATAAGTGTTCGTATTTACCGAATCTAATCTGGTGTAGCTCAGATCGACTGGTGGACCGTGGCGAGATGTCATGAAAGCGGGGATGAGGATGACCCTGCATCCGCTCTAACTGATCTAGAGCTGGAGCGTAGTGTACCACGGACCCACTGGTGGTCGATGGAGCATGACTGGTTCGTATGAGCAGGGAGACTGGGGAAACTCGTGAATTCATTGAATATGGAGGCCAATAACAACGACAAAAAGTATTTCTACGTTTATTCCAACACTAACAAAGCATGAATGATGGTAATGAGGCTGGTTAGTAGCTTACATTGTGCGTTTGTCGCAGCACACTGGCGAGGGAGGGGCACAGTCTAGGGAGGAGCTTGAGGCTAAGAAATAGAAGGGGTATACCTACAAATCATAGCTTTTCCCTATACATGGCAGAGGAAGTTGGGTGATTCAGCCTAGGACTGAGACGTGGTGTAGCTTAGACCGACTGGTAGTCTCGTGGATCGTGGCGAGGTTTCTGGACGATAGGAGCGGGGATGAGGATGACCCTGCATTCTCTCTAACTCATCAAAGACAAAAGTCTTTGTGGAGGGTTTGCTTGAGCGGGGATGCGGTAGACCCCGAATCCGCTCTAACTCATTTAGAGCTGGACAGTAGTGTACCGCGGAGCCGCTGGTGGCGGATGGAACGTGAAAGGTCTGCATGAGCGGGGATGAGGATGACCCTGCCTTCGCTCTAACTCATCTGGAGCTGGACAGTAGTGTACCGTTTAGTCGCTAGTGGTGGATGGAGCGTGACGGGTCTGCATGAGCTGGGACGAGGATGACCCTGCATTCGCTCTAACTCATCTAGAGCAGGATAGTAGTGTACCGTGGACCCACTGGTGGTTGATGGAGCAGGAGGGCTTGAATGAGCCTAACCTAACTCGCCCAACCAAAATTGTGTGTCTTGTTGTATTTTAAGATCAATTAAATGATAATAATGAGTGAAAAAATAGAAAGATCAAAGAATACACTCAAGAGACAAAACAATAATAAAATATAAACATCATGTCTCTAAATATATATTATATTTTCTG